AAAAAACCGAACCAAACAGAAAACCAAACCAAACCGATCAAGAAAAACCTATACTTTTTGGTTTGGTTTGGTTTTGGTTTTGAATTTTAAAAACCGATAAAATTTGGTTTGGTTTTGGTTTTAATTAAAAAAAACCGAAAAAAAATGAACCAAACCGACTATAAGAGTAGCTATTTCTAATTTATTATTAAACCCCTATATATNTTCTTTACTTTTACATTCTAGTTTGATTGGTAATTTTCTTTTGTTAAGTGTAAGAATCCATTTCGTGTTAAAAATAATATATTTTTAATTGAGTCCTTAAATTATTCATCACTATTTGATTCAATTATCATCAATATATCTTGATAAATAATAGATTTCTCAAAGGACAATTGATTTGATAGTGTCACATTGAATATGTGGTCGCCGGAATATGTGCTTGGTAGTGTATGTCTTATATTTAAGAAAAAACCGACAAATAACCGAAAAAATTGAAAAACCGACAAAACCCGAAATAAACCGAATCAAGAAAAAACCGACTTAATTGGTTTGGTTTGGTTCTAATATTTGAAAAATCGACTTACTTGGTTTGGTTTCTTTTGAAGGAAAAATCGATCCAAACCGAACCATGAACACCCCTACTTGGCGCATATAAGGATGGCAGCCCAAAAGCAGAGAATGGAAAGACATTACAATCATAGAGCCAACCTTCGTTATTCCAAAGTAGGAAACTTGGTTTTTAAGGACACTAACTCAAACACCCGGGAACTCAACGCAGGAAAGCTTGGTTCAACATGGGAAGGCCCCTACGAGTTTCTGTTGTCACCGGGAAAGGGTCATACGAATTGGAAAATCAAGCGGAGTAAAGTTTCCAAGCAACTAGAATGTGGCACACCATTGCTAATGAGTCTCGCCTATACTGAAAGTTACTCGCTCTGCCAGGTATAAACATACGTAAAACCTTTTTTGTAGAAGGTTACTCGCTCTGCCAGGTTAGGAGAAATGATGTTCAAATCCTAAGAACCACAATCTTCCTTCACAGCAAAGATGCTAGAAGGACGAATGGAAAAAGAATACACGCCAACAACCCATGCTCGGGAGTTAGCAGAAGGGTACTTCTCTTCGAAGTCATTTGTTGTAATAAGCTTTCTGGGAATGATGGTGCTCTCCGTGGGAGGAGCAGCATCATCGGCACTTTCTTTGTTTTTTGAAGCATTGGAATTTCTGGAAGAAGAGGCAATTGTTATCATAAGAGAATAAGGATTTTTTTCTCTGAAGAAGAAGGTTAGAGGAAGTGGAAAACGAGTATGAGTTGAGTAAAGAGAGTTTGAGAGAGTTTGGAAAATTATGAAGTGCAAAAAAGAGAAGGCTGATGCGTATAAGTAAAAGAATAGGGGACTAAAATCGTGGCCATAATTACCTCGATAACCGGCAAAAGTGTTGCTGAATCGTGGGATGATTCGTGTTCGGTACATTAAATGCGAAAAGACGTGCATCTAATCAACTGTTAGAAACTTTTTAGAGGGGGTCAGAGAATTTCCCGCCAAGAAAGGTATCTTTACCAACTTCCTGGTGATACAAGATTATGCCACCGAAAAGCAGATGCACTATCTATATTGGGTAAAATATGTTCATATTAAATGCTCGCATGATAAAGCAACACGTAGAGCCGAAGACAGAAGTCAACCAGGTTCGCAAGCAACGATGTTGCCATCGGGTAGCATTTAATTTAATGGAGAATATTCTATAGCATTAAGTACATAGTCCGTTACAGAGAAATGGCATTGTACCGTTACACATCCTTCAATGGCCTTCATAATTATCATTTAAGCAGGGCTTGATCCTAGGACCTTGTTCCCTAGGCACCATTATAATAGAGAGCTCAACAACCATTGTATGGATACAAATTTTCTGACAAGCTAATACTATACTTTGTTCAAAAGCTTAATATTATTTTATCCTCTTGCTCATGTATATTGTTCTTACTGCCTTCGGAAGCTTTGCTCCCGGAACCAAGATTTTTGCTGTTTTATCTCGACCTCAAGGCTAAGTCTTACATTCTTATTTAATTTATTTATCATTTTGGGATCAAATCGATTCACTTGTCTATAAACCACGTATAAATTCAACTGTACCGTTTTACGGATAAATATTAGTAAGATGTGAATTTGTCAAAAGTGAATGGATTGAAATGTACTACTATTAAACAATCCAAACTAAACACAATGTTTCCCTACATCACGTAATGACTAACCAAAAAGGAAAATGAATGCAATCACTTTACAGGTGAGATGACAAGATATTGGGAGACACTTGTACTTATTCCGAAGGTGTTTAAAAGTCTTGTTTTGATTAAGTTGAAGTGCCTGGATGAAACCCTCCTATAATGTATCTGTTTCTCCTTTGGGCCATCTTTTGGTTTGTGCCCCCACTCTGCTGCAAGCTGTATTCTTCAAGTGGATAGAAAATTATAGGTACAAAAGTTTAGTACCTTTTGTGTGTTTGGTATGGTATCACCAAAACTTTCATTAAATAGCTGTATTTAATTTATTGAAACAAATTTCCATTGGATAAATAATAATATCACACCAATATTTTATGTTCGTACTAGCTACATCATGCTAATTAACCATGCAGTCAAAAGAACTCTCTCTCCTCAACAACTTTACCGTTGAATTCAATCTACATTTTCACCAATTTTCTCTTGCACCATTTCTTTCTAAATTCTCCTCTTTTCGTTTTGGGGTCTAAGGTTTTCTTATTTCATTAGCCAAAATTTCCTAAATTGAACTGTCTTTCGACCACTTTATTATGTAAAGGGTAGTAACCACGGTGGAATTAAGACCTCCACTAAGATGATTCAAAAAATAACAAAAGAAAACATTGGAAAAAGTAAGGAGATACAAAATCTTATATTTATGTACAATAAAAAAAGTGACCTTATATACAATGGCGGAAACAAGATTTTAATTTTATGCATGGGTTTGAACTTGTCACGAAACTGTAACTCGTCTTAATTATTGTATATTTATACATGTTAAATAATTTTTGAATACAAAAATAAGGTCTAACCTAAAGCCACTAGGTTTGTCCGCACCTAATACTCTAACTTAGGCATCTAATACTCCGCCCCTAATTGTAACTTGTGATAATAAATAGAGAACTAAAAGTAGTATATAGATACGGTCCAAGATTCCCAACTTAGGCTGGTTTAAAATATTTCCTACTAAGGTCTAAAACATAAAATAAAGGTCTAAAAATACCTAGAAAAAGTCCAAAAAACATAATATGATTGTCAAGTCTAGAGGGACGTATCATTTTACACTCACGGGAAATAATTTTACCATGTGGGCCGTATGGGATTCTGAGGGTCCTTTCAAGAGAAGAGAGAAAAAGAGAAGGAAACTCAGTCACAAGTCACACGTAGGCAGAGACTAAAGAGACTTGGAACAGTAGACAACCCGTGACACTTGCCCATAAGCCACCAAACAAATTTGATTTGATGGAATTGTCTCTGCTCCTCCCTCTTTCTCTTTCTCATTTTAAACTAACCAACTTGCATATATCAATTTGACAACCATACAAATATGCTATTACCTTCTTGCCTTGCCCTACCTAAAATTCATCCTCCCATTTTTTGCTCCAAATTTGTTTACCCTCGAATCCGGATAACAATTGAATTTATATGGGGTTTTAAGGATCCGTGAACTAAAAGATACAAAAGGTTTTTAGGTTAAGGAAAATAAAGATAAAGACTCAACAATTGCTGTTAAAGTAAATAATCGCAGAATATAATATTGCTTAGAACAATTGTGCTTGATGATCCACAAGAATTTAGAGAGATACCCATTTATACATTCTGATTAAGGGTAAAAATAAGGTAGGTAAATTGATTACATCGTGGATCCCTGTAATTACGCCTTAATGGCCTGAAGTGGTTGAGAAAATCACGTTTGGGCGAGATATCCGGCGACGCTTGGTTATCCGTTACAAGCCCGGCTTCCGACCTTGTGTGTTTCTCCATCCGGTGGTGATTCCTTTCGAGCTCTGTAACGGTCTCGAAATGACTCGACCTCGGTTGTAGACGTGGCCGTCGTTCTACCTTGCATCCAGGTCGGGTTCGATGGCCCCGACTTGCTCCGGACCGGATCCAACCCGGTCGGGCTCAAGCAAAAAAAGGGTATCACCCAATACAAAATTATTTTTAATCTAGGTATTCCTTTATTTATTTTAATTTTATGGGTTCGATTGAACTTAAAAGTTACATCCACTACTATTCTATACAACTTTTCATTTCTTATTTTTAATATATTGGTTATTAATTCGATACAAAATCGAAACATTAATTTGACGTATGTATCGTAGTTATGATAGTATAAGAAAATATTAAAGCAACGTGTGTTTGGTTGTTTTCTGCTTTGTTCTTTTTGAAAATATCGAAAAACATAGAATCTATCTTCCAATAATTCATGTAAAAGGATAGAAGTTTTTATAATCTATCTTCTTTATTTTGTGGAATCTTAATAATACCGTACCAAACTCCAATTTAGTGGGGACGAACCGAAAAACATGTTCTAACGAAGTAATAAGTCCCAACTACAAAAACTCAAAATATATTAAATTATATGCACTGCTACTAATTTTTTTTTTCATTAATTCATCTGTTGTAGCATTTCACATGATTTATTTTCTAGATCACTCATCACATGATTTTTTACATCCCATATATTTCGTACGTGACCTGAAGTGTGACAATTATTTTATAGGAGTATTTGTTAGTGTATAAAATTAAATTTAATATATATATATATATATATATATATATATATATATATATATATACACACACACACACAAATGTCATTAGACCAAGTCAGAAGGGTATTTTGGTCCAAAAGAGTTCTAAATCGCAGAGATGTTTGTCGTGATCATCAATGGTCGTGATTCAGAGCTTTCCTGCATTATATTGATATACCACCCACCCCCCCCCCCCCCCGGTGCCTCAAAGGCCTCTCCTTCTTAGAAATACCCCCTTTTCCCTATGTAACGTTCCACATTCACCCCCCTCCCCCAAAACCTACCCCCTCTCTCTCCCCGGATTTATACACGAATATTTACACGCACACCACAATGCAGTTGGGGAAATAGAGCAGTCGAAATCTGTGTTTTCGCTTGTAAGAATGGCGGTGAATTCGAGCGAAGAGGTGAGAGGCTTCGGTGAACGTTATGATGCTTTATTTGAATCAATTGAGCTTTATTAAAATAGTGATGTGTTATTTGAATCAATTGAGCTTTTGTTGCGGGTTTTATTCAGTAATGTAAGCTGCATTATGCTGTTCTCGTTGTTTTCTGGTTCGCAATTTGATTATTAATGGAATTCTAGTTCGCGTATTGCAATTAATCTCTTTATGGATGTCTAATCTGAGTTCATTTGCGGATAGTTAAGTGTTAACTGTCATTTTTGTAGAAATTGTGAAGATATGACTTTCTCAAACTCTGAGAATGATTGCGATATATGAGTCAATTGTGTTTTTTCTTTCTTATTTTTTCTTCTCTTTATTGCAAGCTGCTTCGTATTTTTTGTGGTTCGTTTCTTTTATTTAAATTTTTGTAAGGAATTTTGTTTTCCCTGATGCAATTGATCTGCTTGTAAATGCGAAAACCGAGTTCATTGCGGTCCTTGAATCTGCCATTTGTACAGTGGGTTAAATGTTTATAACTGCCATTTCTGTAGAAATTATGAAGATAAAAGTTTTTGCAAGTAGTACAAACGGTAATGTGACAATTGGATCTATTGAGATGTTCTCTTTTTAGTTTTGTTTCCCTTTTTTTTGTGGTGTATATTAAGCTGCATTTTGATGTTCTCATTGTTTTGTGATTCGGATATTTATTTATGTGTTTTTCTGGTGGAATTTGGCTCTGTAATTCATTCAACCTGTTGTTTGATGTTTTAGACTGAGTTCACTGCAATGTGTTGTGTGAATTCAAGTTCGATGTGCATGTAGTGCCAAAATGTTTGTCACAGTCATTCCAGTGGCATATTTTATTTTCTGAAGAAATTTATTCAGATATAGTTGGAGATATGAAAGTTTATTATCATAATATTGTGTGATTGCATTTTAGAGTTAGATGTGTATTTGAAGGAACTTTTATTTTCTATTTACAAGAAGATACCTTTTCTTCCCATATGTCTAAGCTTGGTGGGAGTTACCTGGTACATCTGCTGGTGGAAGATAGTAGGTATCCGGTAAAATAATCGAGGTGCGCACAAGTTGGCGCGGACACCACTGTCATAAAAAAAAAATCCTTTTATTCTTTTTCTTCTTTCATCAGCAAAGTGGAGGTCTTAAATTGAGTCCAGTTACTATTCCCTAGACTACATTCAGCATTAAACAGTCTTTAGACACTACCGGTGATTTTTCAGTTTTTAGTATTTTATCTATGCTTGGATGGTTTTCTTGCATTAATTGAGTATTGAAAAAGTTAAAATTTTTTGTCTCTGTCTCTAGATATTCTTTCTTGTGTAGTTCTATTTGTTTTGTTTTATGTTCTGTCACTATCTAATACGCGCTGGCATTAAGTTAAAATGCAAGTCCTACATTCTGATGCTTTTGTCATTGCTGAAAGTAGGGACCATTGAAGCGAACATTTGATTGGCAAATCTTTTGATTTGAAGTGAAATATTTATTTGTTTTGTATCTTGTGCTTATAAGAGAGGGTTCATTCTATGAGATGAACAAGGGTAGCGGCAGAATTATCTATTATAGCTCTGTGTTTCTTAACACGATCTGTCTACTTTAGCAGCAGACTTAAGTATCATAGCTCTGGGTTTCATAACAAGATCTTTCTACTTAGTAATTCCCCATATTTTCTTGTCAAAGGTAGAATGCCCATTTTGTATCTTATTGGTGATGGCAGTGAGATTAGTAAAATATTATAGAGTTGATTTAGAACCAGAATTAAAGATCTCTTGGTGGCAGCTCAGTTCTTAAAATCGTATTAGGATTTGCATAACACAATTGAAGGTGAACCTCATTTCTGCTTTCAAGGGTTAATAAGATGACCTTGTTTCCCATATCCTTTCTTAGTATGGCATTTGCTGTCACATTTTCTCTGAACGACTTGAACTGAATCAACTTCCAGCTTGGTCCGTGTAAGGTAAACTGTAATGTGGCAATGGACAATCATCCTGGGCTATTACGGCTTAAACCTTTTAATACTAAGATATCATGTTAGTGTAACAAAGTCCCTCGTCCAAACAGCAAGAAGATCCATACTATTATCGTATGTGCTGTTATCCTCCTTTAGGCAATAGGTAATATTTTGTTTGCACCTGCTACCTTTTATCTGAGCTTTTCCATATCACCAGAATTATTTATTTTCGAAAAAAAATTCCCCAAACTCTTTTTCCCGAATATTGAGAACTTAAAGCTCACATTTGGGATGCTAGTTCATTATCAGATCTGCTTCTCTATTTATTTAGTAATTCCTTCGAACTCTTTAATTTAGGGCACTGAAATCGCAATAACTCTTTCTATTTTTCAGCAAAGCCAAGATTCCCTGAATGTTGTAGAATTACTGGCTGAAGGAACCACAGGCCCTCTGTGTGAATCACATTTAGACATGGTGAACCTATCCAATCTGAATTTTGTGAAGACGCCAATCTCAATGGATGCCGAATCAAATGGCCGTAACCATGCCAACCTGAAGAATGGTAGCACAGATGTTGATGGCTCATATATTTTGGATATAGATACTGAGAAAGGAAAATCTGAGGCACTTAAATCCATTCAGGAAATGGGTGGGAATGTGAAGACGGATGATTGTATAGCTGTAAGTTCTTTTAAAGAATTTAACAATTTTGCCATAATCACATGTGAGGACATTATATTTTGCATATCAAAAGGGATTTTTCCTACAGGGCTTGTTTTCTTATATGGTATTATTTTGATCTCTAATTTAGTATTTCGTCAAATGTAATGCCAAACATTGACATATCAATTGCATTTCAGAGAATGTTGCAGAGAGAAATTGCATCACTGATGGGAGGAAAGTTCATGCAACTCCTGATGAATCAGAGTGTTGAGTTGCCCAGATTTGCTTGTAAAGGTAGACGTTGTTCTGCAATCACTCTGATATTCATTTTCCAGATGAATTTTGTCTTAGATGAGGACTGTTCTTTCCCCTCTGCATTTCTCTTTGCGATATTCTAAAACACATTTTGACCAAATTGACTGAAGTCAACTGGATGCTTCTAATGAACTTGAATATTGTTAGGGCATCTTCCTAGATCTTCACTCCTATATATAAATATTTAACTAATGTTCCAAAAATATTCAAAACAAAAAACTATTTCTTCAGGAGTATGACAGATCTGGTTGCTCTTTCGTGAAATAACTGAAGCATGTAACAGTATCTAATTTTCGTAATTGTGTTACATGTTGATTAAAATGATAAGATTCTCTAAGAATTAGTGGTTCTCCAGAAATAGCTTTACAGCGTACTTGTGGACAACTTCTTCTGTGAACCATGCTGCTTCATTTTCCAACTATCAGGTCTCTGAAGTTGATAATAATAGCATGAGTGGCAATATGAAGTACCATAATGACATGCAAGTGTTCTATTAGGTTATAATTTCAATTATTTTCCTCCTTAGTTATGTGAAAGCCAAAACTTACCACTCTAACCTATTCCAAAATCTGTAGTCAAGCACCTAATGTTTGTCCTTTTCCCCTGTTATCAATAGAGTTGTGAAAGGCGACTAGTGCATCCTTTGAAATCCACTTGCTAAAGCTCTTCTTGCAGTCACACTGGGGAACGCTGTAAAGCATTGTCACCCAATCAATTACCATTTCAATATTTCAAATTGAAATAAAATTGGCTTACCATGTGCATGAAGTGCTCCCCATAAATCTGCTCTTTTTATTACCTGAAGATTTCTTTATGGATGACAATGCTTGATGGTTTTCCTAGACTAATAACTCGTTATTTCTAGTCTACTAATCTAAACATGTGTTTTACCATGATGTATTATCTAATATACTTGACACTGAAGTTGGCTTTGCAACTGCTATGATTAGTCAGCATCAGTAGTTATCAGTAGTCATCCTATCTTCTATTATCATTAAGTAGTTGATAGTTTCCGTATGATAAAGAGCACTTAAGTTATACTGTTGTACTACTGAGATGAAAACTTTAGACGTGATTCTTGATTTATATGGCAGATAAATGTTTGACCGAGAAAGTATATGATGCATCTAGCAACAGACTCAGAAAATACAAGCGCTCTGCATCTTTTAATTCAAGAAGAGTTGTTCTCCTTTTCTCATTCCTGTAAGTTTAATCCCCGAAAACTGTTCTTTTTATCTTATGCTTCTTTCCTTTTTGGTGCTAAAAAATTTTATTCATTACCAACAGTCGACGTTATATTTATTTCTCATAATCTGTTAAGTCGATGAAGTTTGTGGATATTAAGCATCCACATTTTAACATGAATTGAAGGAAATAGACATTGTGATAATGAGTTGTCCTGTTCATACATTTGCATGATTGAATGAATATGGAACAAGTATTGCACAACCAACCATAATTATTGAAGGCAGAAATGCTTCACCAAGCTAATGGTTGTGAAAACTGTGAATTTTGTATCTCGCCATCCCTTGATTTGGAAATTATAAATTAACTTTTCTATCTATTTGTCAAATGGAACTTTCAGCTCCTACGTCTTTCTTTGTCAAACACGCGCAAGCCCCCCCCCCCCCCCGTCCTT